GAGGTGTTTTCGTCTTCATTTGTGCCCTTTCTTTGTCAAAGAAACCTGCAAATTTGGTGTCAAGTGCAAAAGGTCTCACGAGTATCAAGACGAACATACGATGCGCATTCTGCAACGCTTCCGCCTTGGCTTTCTTGATCTTAATCTTCTTCAAGACATACTGAAAATGATTGTTGACGAGAGTGAGATCCAGCGAACGGCTGCCGGTCGCTCTTTACCAGACATCTGTAAATTCTACAACAACAAGAGCGGTTGCAAGAAAGAAGAAAATTGTCCCTGTCTTCACGTCTGTGAGCACTTCGTCGATGGCGATTGTAAATTCGGCGGAGGATGCAAAAGAAACCACGACTTCTCTGATTCCCATAATAGAAGAGTTCTACAGCAGTATGATATGGAGCGCATCAGTATCCATAAAGTGCTTCAACGACTGAAGGGCAGGGAAAGAAAGCGAACTGTTAGCGCAAGTTCTGACGGTAAGGTCCGCATAGTTAATAATTAACAACTGTGTAGAGTAACTTCTACAACAAAGTTTTCTCATTAAAAAGGAAGGAGTCAGTGTAGACATTTATTTAGGATGTGAGCCTACTGCTGTCATATGCGAACAACTTTCACCACATTTCACATGAATTCTGCCTTCTGAAACGTGTGAAACAACTTTCAGACAGACTTGTACAACAGGAAATATGGATAGTTGGGGTATTATGAACAAACATTGTATTGAAATATTGATCTTGTAGCTTCTAGTGAGATATGAGTCACAGATGGACAAAAATCATGCTGACACTTAAACAACTAAACAAGTGCCTTTAAAAGTTGTATTTGTTGGCAATAAAGTCTAACAGAGTTTTCTGCAGTCATTCAAGTTTACTGATGAATTTTTAATTTCATTAAACTCTTCCCATAACACAGGTAGCACTTGCTCACATGTATGCTTTATGCAGTATCCAAAATTTTTAACTTTCCAAGCACTCAATGAAAATAAAGTTATTTATTTGTTAGCTGTTTACTCAGCTTGTGTGGATAAGAGATGGTTGATTTATTGCTTAATTTTTAGAAGAGAGTGTGCAATTATCACGATACCAACCAGTGATGAGAATGGATAGTGCTAACCCAACCATACCACATATTCCTGTGCAGCAAGGAGTAGGCAGTCGCTCCATACCAGAGATCTGTAAATTCTACAACAGTAAAACAAAATGTACAAAAGGTGATGAGTGTCCTTGCCTTCACGTATGTGAGCATTTCATCAGTGCTGACTGCAAATTTGGTGAGGCTTGTAGGCATGAACACAGCTTCTCCTCTTTCCATAATAGAAGAGTCTTGAAACAACATGACATTGCCAATGTCAGTGACCTCAAAATCCTTGAATACTTACAAGCAAGAGTGAAGAAACGAACAGGAAGTGCAAGTTCCAGTGTTGAGAAGCCTTTGACTGTCAACTTAAGTGCTGTAAACCCCAGTCAAGATGACAAAGGCAAAGATACTGAGATTTGTGGATTCCACATGCGTGGCAAGTGTAACTATGGCGACAAGTGTATCCATCACCACACAGATTTACCCTATTTATGGCAATTTGCTGCACAGGGTGATGACCAGTGGGAAAGTTTTT